GCAATTTTTCACTACTCTCTTTATTTGTACTAACTTGATACGGGACTGAAGTAGCACGTTCATATCACCAAACAAAAGTGCCCCCACTCTGGTTTCACTGATGGATCCAAGAAGTGGGAATTCGAGCTGTTGCCTGGTTCGTCTCATTTGCGTGTCATGAAGTCCTTTGAGTAGTTTGTTCTCACATCTTGTCCCTGTGAACTGATCCGATACTCTCTTTATCCAGTCTTCTCTCAGCCAAACTTACTGTCCCTTGGAGTCTGTGTCTTCCTGGAGGCTGGCCTTGATGTTGGAAAATGGAGCGAAAGCAGCCAGGAAGGGATCCAGAACCGCCTGGGATCCCCCCTGCTGTGGTCACGTTTGTACAACATTGGCAAACTACAGCGTAGCATAGAGTAGAACGAGTAACTGTGGCATGTAGAGAAGTGAACAACATCCTTCGTGTGTTTATACTGTTGTGCAGTTACGTTTTAAACCTGTTTCTAGTGGTCACTTGACATTTCGTACTGTCCAGCCACCGTTTTACAGCCCTTGGCTTGGTGGCTGGTTTGTTTAAAAGATCAGTATCTCATTTTGTGGTAGGATACCTTGGAAAAAAGTGGTTTTTTACTTGGCTCACGTGCCTGCAGCCCCTCTACACAGGCATATGTTTTGTCTGCTTTGGTGCAGTTGCAGGATTTGGGCCTTTTGTTTGGAATAGGTAAATAGGCTGGTATTTTAAAATAGAAGTTTTCAGAGTACCTTGCTTTCAAAGGATTAAACTGTATTCTTAATAGAGATGGTGGATGCACTCTGTACTGTTCGTGTAAAATAAGCTGAATGTTCCTCCTCGAAGTTGTCAGTTAAGCAACGTTAAGCCTCACAAGGTGGTGTCTGGTGCCCCGTCGGTGTGTTTGTGTTCTCGATACTACTCATGACCAGATTCAGTTAAGAAGCAGTTCTGATGACCTTGTGCTTTAAATAAAACCTGATTTCAAGCAGCACTTTTTTAAATTGAGAAACTTGATTTGTATATAGGAAATGGTGTACATTGATAAGTTTATAATGTTTAATAAATGGGGTTCTGACCATGGACCGTGAAACCAGAGTGCTCCTATGGTTTGTGTCATCGTCTCGAGGGAGCAGTGCGTTTGTGTTACCTTTTCCCCCCCTGCCTGCAGTCGGAAGATGTGATTAACTTGGGCCAGGAACTGCAGATTGTCTTGGTTTGGTAGCAGAGCCTCACCTAATTTTATCTGTAAACATGAAGATCTTGCTTTCAAAATACAGAGTAGAAAGAGGCTGTTTCAGGTAGATTCTCTGCAGTGAAATGTGTCATCTTGAGGACGACAGTGGATTTGTGCAGATACTCCTTAAAGAAGAAGTGTATTCGGTCTCTAACATCTGAACAAACAGGTCACTGTGTCTTAAGCCACTAAAACGGGAACGTAGGAAAATAAACACAAGGAAATCACTGTTTGACATATAGTAAGTGAAGTCTTGAGCAAATTGATGTGTAGAGGCACGTCTCTTGGGGCTTGGCTGCACCTGAGGCTTGTGTGTTGCTCCCTTCCCAGCAAACCTCAGTGGAAGAGAACTGGATAACCTTAACCCAGCATATCTCTGGCAACAGTTTATGTGAGGTGAACTGCACCCAAATGTCTTCAAAGGAGCTGGTTTCAGTTCCAGAGTAAAACAAAGTGTAGGAATTCAGACAAGGGAGAGAGGAGGTGGGTGGTTCTAGATGAAGTATGAAAGCAGGTGGGAAATACGTGACAAAAGCCACTGAATTTGTTTTCAAGAGTCAGTCTGATCCCTAAATTATTCCACCTGCAGAAAAATCCGTGGCTAAAAATACGTGTAAAACTGTCACAACTGTCTGTATTAATTCAGCACTTTATGTTGTTTTTCATTTCAGGAGAAGAAAGGGAAGGTGTAAGAAGCTCAAGGTATTGTCGGCTCTGATAGAATAGCAGTGAATGGCTGAGGGCTGCTTATTTTTTCCATAAGTTAAATGTTTTAAGAAGTTCAGTATTTTAAGAAGCATTTCTGCTGGGTACGTGCACTGGTTCCAGTGTATTGGTGTGTTTACAGCAAAGGTTCTTTAGCCAGCTCTTCTATTTGAGGTAACCACATGCATTGCAGTGAAAACTGGAATTGTCTGGTAGGTGGGTTTGAAACCTTGCTGGTGGGAACAGGGACCGACACTGGGGCTTGAATGGGTGAAGGACAGGTAAGGGCCTGGTGCTCTGTTCAGTTTGGACCTCAGATTCTTGCTTAGTGACATTATTAACTAAAGAGGATTCCTCTGCCTTGCAAAGATGTTTAAATACATCATCATGAGGCTTCCTGCACCGTTTGTGAGGCTATATAAGAATAACCCAAACAGGGAATATTCCTAACATGAAGAATATCATTTGCAGTGGTACTTGCACGCACTATTACACTCTTTATTTCCTTTTTGTTTCTCCAGCAAACAGCTAGAATAGCATTATGTTCATGTTTAATATCTGCTGTTCCCCCTGTGAGGCGGGACTGTTCCTCATCAGAAGCAGGCAGCCTAGTTTCTCTTCAAGACTAGTTTTAAGCCACACGTTCCAAGTTGTTCCTTCTAGTGCAGCTCCTGTCCAGATGATGCAGTTCCACTCGCTGTGTAACTACAGTTGTTACAATAAATCTTGAGAAAACCATTTTCTCTTTGATTAGGTGTCATTATTTGAGTCATTTGTTAAATCACTGTAGCTGTGAGAGGTGAGGAAGGTGAACGAGCTTTCTACAGGAGTCCCAAAGGCTTAATGGATACCTCTGGAAAACCTGCACTTTGGTTATTCATTAAATAGTACAGAAACAGGTTTAAGAGCTTAAATTTTAATGATACGTGGTACATGAGCCAAGAGCTTAAAGGACCATTAGTAGCAGAGAAAAGGTTGGGGGAATATAGGTATATAATGCATATTGTTCTAGTATTTATGCTGCCCGTAAACTAAGTAAATGGTTCACATGAGCTATTTAACCGATATTTAATCACCTTAAATCTTAAATGATTGTCCTAATAATGCTCATTCTGTAGTGATTTCCCTCTGGTACCAAAGTGGCTGCATGTGTTTCTCCCAACAAGTTCCTGGACTCGGTTTTAATAACACACTTTTAAACTGCTTTTCCCCCAAAGCTGGGTAGACCTTAACCAGGTCTGACTTAGGTGGTCAGTCGCGGGAGGTGTATGTGTTAATCTGCTGTGAGTAGTGAGGCATGTGAATTACTTTCCAGACAGCGTAGTGCTTCCTGACAGGCTTTCGAAGAGGCTTGGCAAGAGTTTGAGGGGCAGGTCAGTGCTGTTTGCTCATGGGGCTTTGGGGGGTTTGGGTTTTATTTAGGCAGCCAGCAGTGAGCCTATTGCTCCCGCTGCAGCTCTAACAGTGGGACGGGCCATTGGGGTTGTAGCTGGGGTGGAAGTCGAGGTGGTCATAGGCGGTGATGAAGTTGTCCGGGCCAGTGACGTGGCTCTTCTCCAGGACCGTGTTGAGCCCGTTGTTCCTGTACGGGCCACCCTGCCCCTGAATCCTCGTAAAGGCGTGTGGGATGATGTGGAAAGAGGTCTGGAGAGTGAACAGAGGGGAGACGTTCCGAATGCCACCATCGGCAGCGCCTGGGCTCAAGCGCACACCGGCGGGTCCTGCTGACCCCTAAGTCCTTGTGCTCGGGGCTGCTCTCCCCCAGCACCCCTTTGTGCTCGGGGCTGCCC